ATTGAAATGAATTAACACCTATCTGATATCTAAGGTTCTCCAAACATAATGATTGGCGACAGTGACAATCTTTCTTTGCCTCCCATCAAGGAAGGAAGGATACCACTTCCCAAAACAAAAATTCGTCACTAGATTACAAACATTTATCACATCACAAATGACTTTCAATTTACGACCTTTCTTTTTAATGAAACAATGTAAACAGCCGATGCTGTTAATTTATAAAGCATTAATAAATAAAATAAATTGCATTACCCAAGTAATAATGCTAATATCATGCAGAAATGAAATTCTTTGAGAAACCAATTTTGAAAAAAGCTTGAATTTTAATCTGATCCTCAAGTGGTAGTGGTGGTAAAGATGTTTTAGTGGTTGATCCTCTCTCTAATTGGACCTCTGGGATTGGTTTCCTTCACAATTCCAAGATTGTAGAGTTACTTGAAATATTAATCTATATATTGAACTAGGTGTTGGATTTAATAGAACCATCCTTCCTTATACCAATAGACATTGTTGATCCTACGACGACTACAGCTTGATGGGACTACTCCTTGATCAATAAGCTAGGCGTCAATTAATGATACCCGACAAAATGTTTTTTGTGGGTGAGAAGTTATTTCGTCATATTTGGCGAAATCGGTGATGCAAATATGACAAAGAGGAGAAAATATAATTAATTAAAAATCATAAAATTACATGTGTGCTCTTAAATTTATATTCACTTGTTCATTTAAGACTCACCATTGAAGTATCAGCTTCGATTTGTAAATGCCAACTCGGGAGTCAAAGACAATTTATCCTCTCGACCAGGAGGTCCAGTATTAAAGAGCCTATTAGAAATTCTAAAGGCTAAAATATTTTACTGTTCAAAAAGTTTCAATATGGAGAAAAGTCAAGACTTACAGCTCTAGCAAATTACTGTATTGGATGTAGCCCGCATTTCGCTTTCCTCGGAACAGAAAGCGATTACTTTTATGATTATAATGAAACTGACAATTATTCACCATCAGAAATGATTACTGGAACAAGAATATTATAATATTAATAATAACAGCCTTACAATCATAAATGAATATTTTAAATGTATATATAATAATAGTAGTAACGAGTTTAAATAAAATTTTCTGGTGATTAAATTTAGAATTATTATTATTATGGTTATCACAAAATTTTTTCTGTGATTCATTTCATCAAAAATATTGTATTTCCACCTTTTTCACTTTTCGTCATATTCTCCATTGTTTCCTTTTCGTCAATACACCTTTGTATTTGGCGGTAAAATACACTTCGTCATGTAACATTTCGTCAGTTGAACGAGAACAAAATTGGATAAGAGATAAACAATGTTAAAACTTGCCATCTCAATCACCTGATCTTAATCCAATTTGCACCTTTGGATGAGTTGAAAAGATGAAAACATCCCAAAAGTGCCCGAGAATTAGAGATTGCTTTGCAAAAGGAATGGTCTAACATTACTTAAGGAGGTTTTATGATAAATTAATCGAAAGTATGCCAAGGAGAATTTAAGCATGCGTATCGAATAATGGATGGCCAACAGAATATTGATTTTTCAGTTTTCATTTATTTAATTTTTTACATTTAGCAGAAACATCCGCATATTTGTTAGAATCTAAGCTATATTATGATATTTTTTAGAAAAAATTTAGTGTAAAATTTTGCGCAATCAATAAAAACGAGGTTCGGATACTTTCTTCGGGTTCGAACTAAACTCGAACAAGTAATTATGGTTATAACCATACGAATCATCGAATATTCGAATATTCGAATCAAGCGAACCATTAATATTAATATTAAAGATTTTCAGTGTATTTTTTTTTTTTGAATCATATCTTCCTGACATTTGAGTTTAAAACTTTGAATTAAAAATTGTGCTTGCTTACAAAAGATTTCAAAACAACATAATGTTTATTTCTCGCTTCAAAAATCAATGGTTCAAAAACATTCTGGAATTAAACCAAAAACCCGTAAAATTAGGTCCAATACATGTTCTATTGATCCAAGTGCTCGTACACCTTGGGTGGTATTTTATTTTAATGATAAACGATTTTTTGGGTTCTTGTTCCAAGTCTTGCTGAATTACAAAACGATACTTCAAAATTATAAAGCAAGCAACGAGAACTTTCCAGTGAAAAGCCAAGCAAGAAGTTGCCAACGAAGGAAGAATAAAAAAGTAAATAAAAAATCCAGTAATAAAAAAAGAAAAAAGAAGCATAATCGGAAAAAAAGCTTGGATACAAAAAATGTAACAAAATTCATGTGGTGCATTTACCAACTTCTTGGTATCTCGCAATGACACTATTATATTACCCGAGTTTATGGCTAAAATATAGGTCACTAACAATTGAAATTTCCCTCCTTAAATGATATAACTGATCCGAGGTTTTTCTTCCAAAAAACAACCCTAAGGCTCTTCTTAACATATTACATTATAAATTTCGAATCCTACAAAAAATGAAGTTGTAGCATTATTTTTTAATAGTAGTGAGGGATACAAAAAAAATTTAATGGTGATCACATACAGCCAAGGCTCGTTACACTGAACCTTTGTTCCTAAAATTTTGTTCACTGTTACTGAAAAATTTCTTTATAATAAACATATTACATAATTTAATGTAAAGTTCACTGTAACGAAAGTTTTTTTGATTAATAATTTTATATAGAAACTTAACAAGTGTTTAGTATTAAGTTTCTTGATTTAATGAAAATTCCCTCCCAGTCAGCTAAGCAAGCCATTAAATTTCTTAGCCAGATGACATCACTATTAAATCATACAATTATTGTTAATATTAAAGACATTATGAACACGATGATGATTGATCTAACTAAAATTAGAAATAACAAAACACGAAGACCCTGTGATCAACGCCACACGATTTCCACTATTATTTCTATTATGTGTTCAATGTTCACTATACACAATAATAATAATAAAGGGATTTTATTATGATGTTCACTATAACGAGCAAAATCTGTTTATTGTGAGCCGAGACATGAAAAAAAGTTCACTATAAGCCATTTCCACTGTAACAAGATTTACTGTAACGAGCTTTGACTGTATACACATAACTTTTGAAAAATCAAACAACGATTAGTCCAATTATTAATGTTGTGCGTGAAAATCAAATGTGAATGTTTGAATACAAAATTCTGATTGGCTAATTTTAATTTCACACGCATGAATTTCAAATTGACGCAGATTCCAAATTCACGCACAACATTAATATTAATTAAATCCTTGACGGGTCTTCAGCAATACAATAAATATTTTGCCCATATCCTTTGTTTGTAAGTTTCATGTCTTTGTAAGCTATCAATTAACAAAACCACAAGGACAATGACTAAATTTTTATGGCGTGCACCATCTAAAGACATCCAATGCTGCGCTGCGTGGCCAAACTATCAAATCCCAAAATAGCAATGATATTCTTGATGTCACAATATTATAAAACCACATGACTAACCACTCGGCGCGCCAAATTAGCCAATCAATACTAAAAAATGCAATATATTTTTGGAAGTCAAAGTGGCACATATACATACCTGAATCAATATAGGAATTAAGTTATGTATAAACGGGAAGCCAGTGTGGCAAAAGCAAACTTATGATGTAAATACTACAATAAGTAAATTAGATAAATTAATAAATTTACCAACTAAATGATAGAATCCAAAGTTAAATCAAAGTTTACATAATACAGCGCTTCTAATTTGTTCAGGTCGCGTGATATACAGCGAATCTTTCTTAAGTAGGAATGATCCCGGTAAATCACCTTTTCGATATATAGTAAAATTGTGCAATTTCAAAACCTTAATACCAAGGCTTTTTTTATTAATAAATTGAAAAAATAGAGAGTTTTTCCCACTTCCAAATATGTTAAAAAATTGGCTATTTTTGATGATCTACACCATAAAAAAAAAATTCATTTCCAGAACCAAATTGGAAAAGTTTATATGGAAAATTTTTTCATGGGAAAATTAATTTTGACTATTTGGGATGGAATAAAGCGAAATAGGTTTATGATCATCAACATCGTTTTACACAATATTCGGCTATCAGTATTATAAAATTCTGCTTAATAATATATTTAGACTAGGGATTAGGGATTAGGAAAGACGTGATTTTAAGAGTTGATATAAGGGCTAGCCCTCTCCCGTTGCGACTTAATTCGTGTAACAATTTTTTTTAAAATTTTTTACTATATATATATATGTATTGATTAAGTGTAACGTGCAAATGTTGAGAACCCCTCTCTCCATTTCTAAACACGGCTTCTTCCCTTATTATTATTCTAAATAACAATAAAGATCAGTTAATTCGACTATTTGTATAGTAATTGTATATACATAATAGTAATATAGCATTTTTGCCCGACCGTAAAGAGTATGTAACAAAATAAAGTTTTTTTATTAAAATTATGTAGTGAATTTAATCGTCTTTATGCATTGTACTAAATGGATTAGCACTAATGCACACTATAAACCGTTAAATTACAATTCATCTGACCAATAAATTTGCAGTAATATTTATAGTAGTAGTAAGACATCACGACATCACATTTAATGGTGGCCCTGTGTAGTGGTGCCCTCGACCTTATTTGGGATTTGTGATTTTCCATTTAAAAAACTCCAAGTTTATTATTCTTTTTTTTCTGTAGCAGAGTAGTTTTGATTGAAGAAACCTCTTTTTTTCTCTTTGAAAAACCCTTTTTATTCTACGCAGTTTTTTTGTTATCGTTATCATTATTATTATTTATCAACATTGTTACAAAAATTTTCTTTTATAATAATAATTTTAGTTTATTGTTCTAAATAAATTTTTTTTTCTTTTCGTTAAATTAGCATAATAATAATAATAATAATAATAATAATAATAATAATAATAATAATAATAATAATAATAAAGTGATAATAGTAGTAAACTTAATATAAGTTTTGTAAATATATATACATTATTATTTTTAAAACCAAAATCAATAAAAATGCCAAGACCTAGAAAACAAGAAGATTCCCTTGGTTTAGTTCAGTGGATAGTCAGAACTGCAGTATTTTGTGTATTTTATGGTATGAAGAAGTCGACGAAATTTTTTTTTTATGATAATAAAATATTACATTATAGCAACTCTGTAGTTTTTTTTTAAAAAAAGTTTTTCACTTCCTGAATTTATATTAGTATATTAATTACCTTATTTATTATATAGCTGGTCAATCTGTTGTACTCAATTTTTCACAATTCCTTGGACTTTTATTATGGCCTCTTCCAAATGACTTCTTCAAAAATTATATTATCCATACACAAAGATGTTTTGGAATTTTACTTGTTTCAATTAATCAATTCTTCGCACCAAGCAATTTCATAGTCACTACAGATAAATCTGCGAAAGATATTATAAAAATTACAAGAAACAATTCAGTAAAGCTAGAATTGCCAGAAAGAATTATATTGATAGCAAATCATCAAGTAATTTATTTGAATTTAAATAATCAATTATTGTAATATTATAATATTTTATAATTTCATTTTCGATTTCTTCAATTTAGATATATGCTGATTGGATATATATATGGTACCCTTTGTTCTTCTACCAAAATAAAAACAAATATTTATTTAATAATTAAATGATTCATTATTCGTTTATAGGACATTTGCATATTTAGCTAATGCTCATGGTGCTGTAAAAATTATATTAAAAGATTCGTTGAAATGGCTGCCAATATTTGGATGGTAGGTTCGTTATAATATATGGAGATTTGCTTAAATATATATAATGATTTACCTTAAATATATTTTATTATATAATTTGTTTCTTTTACGATTAGGGTAAGGATATTATTATTATTATTTAATTGTTGGATTCAGAAATTAATAAATCAAAAAAAAAAAAGAAAAAAAGATTAATTTAATTTACCAATTCAAAGTTCAAGAAAAACGACAAATTTTTAGAATAATTGGATTAGATTCAATTGATTGAAATATTCATCTATTCTTTAAAAAAAAAATAAAATAAAATAATAATAATAATAATAATAATAATAATAATAATAATAATTAATTCATTATTCTTCTTTCTTTCTCACTCATAATCTAGGGAATGCAATTTTTTCAATTTATATTTTTGAAACGTAATTGGGCAGTTGATAAAGGGCCATTAACAAAGCAAATGACACGTTTTGCTAGATCTAATGATCCTTTATGGTTGCTGATTTTTCCAGAAGGAACTATAGTATCAGAGGAGACACGTGTAACTTCTAAAAAATTTGCGGATAAAACTGGTTTGGTATGGGTTTATCCGATTCTCCTCTTTATTTCAAATTATTTAAGATATTTATTTATTTATTTTTATTTTTAAAAATGGAAAGGTTGATCACAAATATGTATTATTACCTCGTTCTACCGGATTACATTTTTGTAAATCAGCATTGGGAAAATCAATAGATTATCTATATGATTTAACCATTGGATTAGAAGGTGTGTCACGAGAGATATATCCCCAAGATATTTACACCCTAAGAAGCATTTATTTCGAAGGTAAATTTCCTCGTAATGTGCACGTGCACGTGAGACGATACAAAATTTCAGAAATTCCACAAGATGAAGACAAATTTACCATATGGTTGAGAGATCGTTGGTCCGAGAAAGACGTGATGATGGAAGAATTTTATAAAAATGGACGATTTTCGTCTTATGAATCACCTAGAATAGTTCCAATGAGGTTGATGAATGGATTTTTCGAATTACTACAAATTTGGTATTTCGTAATACCTTTAATACCTTTACTATATTATTACTCACATACTATATTTGAGAGTATTTCAAGGGGTTGTTTTGGTGATCAAGGTGTGGCATCACAGTTTTAATAATAATGAATGATAATAGTAATAGTAATAATAATCATATTAATGATAATGATAATGATAATAATAATAATAATAATAATAATAATAATAATAGTTTATTATAAAGTATTTGCCCTGCTTCTTCTTCTTTTCTTCTATTGTTCTCATTATAGATAAACAAATTAATCAATTAACATAACATTAACATTAAATTATTATATATAGCTTTTATAGTTTTTATATTTTTTCCGAATACCATTATTATTTATTGTCTCTTATATATATTGTAATTATTTTTTATTTTATTTATGTAAATAATGAATAATTATTTATTCATACCAAAGAATGAAGTGTCAAATTTTTTAATCTTCATCGGATTTCCGTAATTCGCCTTCCATTATTTCCAATATTAATATCATTTAAGTCTATTATTGTTTCACCAATTTATAATCAGAAATCTAACCGTATCAGATAATCTTCAAAAATGCCATTATTGATTGTAAAAAACACTGGAGAAACTAATTTGGATTCTTTAATACCAACATTCCAAAATTTTAAGATCCTATCATTAATTGATAATCACAGAGGTTCATTTGATCAAAAGCCGATTTACTACTTCGTTTCCAAAGCTCGTATAATTTCTTTAATCGGTCGCTTCTATTAGGTACATCTATAATTCTGATTGGCTATTTTGAATTCACATATCATAAATTCACGTGATTTAATTTCAATATTTCTCATTTAAATATTACAGTTACATGGTTTTTTCTTTCACAAACATGCGGAAAACTTATATTTAATTTTATATTTAATATTCCATCAGAACAAAACTTTTTGGAATATCAGCTAATAATAATTTATGTAATTTTTTTGTTAGTTTCAAGGTCATTATTCAGCATCATATTGGCTTGTAAAAGAATGATGGCTTTTTGAAAACTAACAATCTCATCCATGAATTATATGTAATGTTCCAACGTGTAGCTACACCATATATTGGTCTTAATTTTCTGGATAATCTTCACTTAATCTTTGTTGTTGTCTAAACAGTGCCTCCAACTGTTCTCCATAAAGTTGTTGATATTAGCAAGAACACAAAAATATAGAATATGGTATTTCAATATTTCGGTTAAAAAATTCCAATAGTAAATCTGCCATTTGATCATGATATTTTTGCTCCATGAAATTTCCAAATTTTTTAATAAAAAGTTTGAATAGAAAAAACTTTTGAATTTTAAAGTAAATAGGAAAATAATGTATATTATAAATGCATATGTTGTTGTAGATGTAAACAGGTGTAGTATGTTAGACATGGTTTGCATCTTGTCCTTTCATCTTGAGGGTCTGTAGCTAACAAATGTTGCACATGAACCAACAAAGAAAAGAATGGAAGGCTTTGCCGTAAATCAATATTATTTAAATGGATAACGTGTATGAAATATAATTTATTGATCTCTCAAGATTAATAAATTAATAATATAAAAGGCGAATTAATTATACCAACCTCGCTCATTTTTTCTGGAAAAAAAAATTCAACGCGAAACAATAACCAACCAAAGTCGATGGAGCAAAAAAGATTTCTAATAAAAACTAATCCAACGAATACTAATCTAATAAAAATGAGTGGACTTTTTTTTATCCGTAAACTCCTTATAGTAAGAAGATCCGGATAATATGCTACTTAAGCAGTAGGTATTATTTACCTCGGAGTGTGTCGATAGTTGTTGCTGCTGTTGACGCGTCGTTGTTAATTTAATTGCAGCCGATTTGGTTTTTTGGACACTTTTTTCTATACCTTATTGTGTTAAATATTTTTGATGTGTAGAATGATAATTGACCCCAAAAAAATTATTTGCTCTCTAAAAAAAACCATTTTACTATTCAACAGCCATCAAACCAATAGGTTTTTACTAGTATAGGGAAGGTATTCATAACGTTATGATAATATCGTACAAAATCAGCGCATGTGTTTTTGTTGGAAAAAATTAAAGTATGATAAGGGATACCTGTATTTGGAATTTTGGCGGCTGATTTAAAAAAAATTTCATGTGTAATATCTCTCTTTTTTAAATAAATAAACATCATCCATCAATTCTTGTAAAGCAATTTGAAAAATAGGGAAAACCTGGAAGGGACTATAAAATTAATTATAGTTCCTACAACAGAGCTTGGAATCATGGGAGAACAAAGAGAATGGTCGCACACATTTAGTAATCTTAAATTGTTAAAGAATATGACGGTGATAGTGATTAAATCAACCAATACTTTAGCATATAAAATTATGAGTCCCACAGAAAACGAGGGTTGGCTGTAATTATATATTGCTACTGTTATTATAATTAACATTGTATTGTATGGTAACCAACACATTGCTGGAGTACGGCAACACGCTGTTTCTGGTGCCTAAAAAGACTGTACTGCATGCAGAAATAGGAAATTAAGGAATATATAATAATAAGGGTTTTGGTCGGAAGAAATTTTAGTTTCGAGTTAATACAAGAATCTATTCTTAGATAGTAGAAGTAGTAGAGAATAGTAGTACAGTCTACTCTCTCTATAACGACCCTCTCTATAACGACCACTAAGTAAAATTTCTCTATAACGAACTTCCCTTTTGTCCCCGTTTCAATTTTTTATAATTAATTTCTCTCTCTATAACGACCATCTTAATAAACTCTCTCTATAACGACCAAAAGCAGAGAAATTACATATAGGGACAGAGGGTTCGTTATAGAGAGAGTGAACTGTATATAATATGGGTTTTTATTATGAAAAACCTTTTAAACAATAAATTTATGCCTAAAGCTTAGTTTTTTTATATTTAATATAAATATGTCGGTCATTATCTTTTATTCTTTTTATTATTATCAAAAACCATTTTTTTATTAAAGCTCTTATGATTTGTTATAAATAATATCCATAATATATACTAGAATAAATATAAACTTTTAGGAATAAAAATTACTATTACTACGTTTTTATGTGTGTGTTGATATGCATTATGGTTTTAATTATACGGAGGCGTGAGAAAAAATTTCAGTTCACGTGAATCCGTTATAGGCGGTGTTGATTTATATGTAAGTCATATGAAGTGATTTTTAGATACAATCTGCTATACGTAAAAAGTTTAATTAATATTAATATTAATAATATACGTTATAGAAAGAGATTTCAACTAGTAAAAAATCGGGACCAAACTTTTAATCCGTTATTAGTCATTCAATATAAACGTTACACGAACAAATTATAATCTCCGTTTTTCATATAGCAAGCGATTTTCAACCATAATAAATTTTTTAGAGCCAGATTGGGACTTTAACAACAGTTAAAAAGAAAAGTCTAGCTTAAATATTGGTTATTATACACTAGGTCAGAAGCGTTTCTTTTCTTCACACTTATTTTCTTCTAACTAGGACTAAATAAATTGAATTAAAATTTTTAAGGGTAGGCTCCATGCAATAAAGTTACACATATGTTAATTAGTACCAATCGCGGGATTTTAATTTTAAGAATTTAAAAAACTTGTGTGACTAGTACAAGTCTTTTAACCAGAAACAAAATTTGCGAAAAAAACTCATTAATTAATTAAATATGTTATTTATATAATGAAACCATTTTTTGTACTTTTTATACTCTCTTAAAAAAGTTTTAAGTAAAAAAAATTTTTTGATTGCTCATCTATTTTGCATTCTACTCATTCTGCCACAACTATTTATCTACAGAATTTTATTGCAAAAAAAATTTTTCAAGTATTTGCGAACAAAAACTTTTATGACTTTTTTTTAAATAAAATCAATAGATTTTTTTATCCCTTGTTCCTTAAACCTTGTTTCTATAAATGGAAATTGTTTAGTGGACAAAAATAGGGATAATAAGGATCTACACCCGCGTTATATATGTTACACATGGAGCCTACCCTTAATTGCGATTTCAATAATTAATATTCCGAATTTGTAAAACTGCTTTAAAATGTCTATATGGTAAAAAGAGGCTTTTTTGTGTGATTTGATCTGTATAAGCTCCTTGACTCATTCAATTTCAATTTCACATACAACGGTTCATACATTACATGTTTTCGAATTAAATTTAAATTTACATATTAATAAAAAAAATTCAACTCATTTACTTATAAAATGAATTTACTCACGAATTTTTTTTTTTTTTGATTTAGAAAATTTTTAAAAAATGTTTTCATTAAAAGAAATCATTTCAGCATCTGCAACAATATTATTTATAACAATAATTTTTTCATCATTAAAATATTATTACAATTATTTTACTCGTCCAAATCCTTATAAAGGGCCTTTTCCTTTACCATTATTAGGAAATTTACATCAACTCTTTTATCATCGTTT